ATAATAATACAATCATAATGACGTATTTGGCTGACATTTTAATTACTCATCGATAAAAAAAAATGTAAAAATAAAGTACGAGACTTAATTTGAAATTTAGTATATAACAACAATTAACACATCATAAATTTGATAACCTGTCAATTCGTAACTTTGATGCAAAGTAAATATATTTTGCTAAGTTGGTAACATCACTTTTAACATTTGTCGACATTAAAATTTCAAATTCCTTCAGTGTTGGCCATCTGCAAAAATATCTTTTAAAGTATTTCATTCTTAGATCTCTGTATAACGGACATACGAGAAGAAAGTGATATTCAGATTCTAAAACTCCCATTGAACAGCATTTGCATAATCTATTTTCTCTCAGAGTACCATCATATCTCCCAGTTTCTATGGCTAGGGAATGTGCTGATACTCTGAACTTAGTTAATGCTATGCGATATTTTACAACCGTTACGGTATCTATATATTTCTCCCGATTGAATGAATGTTTAAATAAACAATAGGCTTCTAGTTTTCTAGAATTGTTAATATCGCTATACCATGACTGATAAAAGGCATCGAATAATCTTTGTTTAGTTTGTAAAATTGATATACGATCCACAATATCATTTTGGGACAACCAAAAGTAATTAAGCCAAATTTCCTGTAGTACAAGTTTTACCTGATGAGCCCAGTTTTCCCCCCATAAGTAACATTATTGTCAGAGTCACATTTAAGCATTTCATAAACTTGACGTATGATACTAGATTCGTCCGACTTCAGTACTTTAAGCCAGAATTTTAACATTCGCAACTTACGTATAACAATTAACGGCACTCTGCCCAACTTCCCATAAAGTGCAGAACTGTTTGTTGTCATTTTTACGCATAATAATTTTCTTAAAAACTTTGTGTGGATACGTTCCAGATCAGGGCATGGGTTTGAACCTATGACCTCACTTCCAAAGTGGAGAATTGATGAGACTAATGAATCAAACATATATAATTTTTGACTGATAGGTAGATCTATTCTGTGAAATATTGAAAATAATCGATTCATAGCAAAACTTGCGTGGTGAGCTATTGCTTTCTGGCTACGATTCCACTGACCATTTTTATTTAAGTTAATACCCAAATACTTAAATGATTTAACAACTTCGAGTTTTTCACCATAATTAAAAAAGTCTTTCTGTGTGTGACGTCCTTTTTCAAATATCATTACTTTGGCTTTACTTATATTTATTTTTAAGCCCCAGATATTACAATAGTTTTCAATGTCACGAAGCATTGATTGCAATGACTCCGCTGATTTAGCAAATACAACTTGGTCGTCTGCGTAAAGCAGCAAAAATAGACCAAGTTCTCTCAAGGTAAATATATCATCTATGTCATGATTAATATTATTAATTAAGTCATTGACGAACATCATGAAGATCATCGGCGAACAGGGGTCTCCCTGCTTAACGCCTCGTTTTGACGGGAAAAATGGAGAATACTCTTTGTTTAATTGTACACATGACTTGACTGAGTTATACATCGCCTTAAGTGCAGTCACCATGCGGCTATTTACCTTTTCAGCCACTAGTTTATACCATAAAAGATTTCTTTCAATTGAATCAAAGCAGCGCTCAATAAATGCTGCATATAATTTACCATTAGAGTTAAGGGTTTTACATATAACCGCCTGTAAAATGAATATACAGTCAATAATGGACTTTCCTTTTTGAAACCCGAACTGATTTTTACTTAACTTATCATATTTGTTTGACCATTTTGTGAGTCTATTTAACAATAGTTGGGAGTAAATCTTTGCAAGTATGTCAATAGGGGTTATACCCCTGTAATTTTGTGCTAAGTCAGGATCACCCTTCTTATAAATCGGGGTAATAATGCCACACTGGTGACAATACGACAGTACGTTGGTAACAGTACAACAGTACGATGGTGACAATACGACAGTACAATGGTGTTAGAACGACAGTAGATGGTGACAGTACGACAGTACAATAGTGACAATACGACCTACGTTGGTGACAGTACGATGGTGACCATACGACAGTACGACGAACTGTCACCATCGTGCTGTCGTGCTTCGCCATCGCACTGTCGTATTGTCACCGTGGTACTTCGCACTATCACCATCGTGTTTCGCGCTTTTCGTTCTCAGTGAAAACGCGCTGGCCTTAAAGGAACATCGTAGTAATGCATTCACCATAACTCCCTAAAATGTCGGCGTATTTTGCCGTATTCAAGCGTTGATATGACTAAAATGCCGTGTTATATTCAAATTCAAATTAAAAATTTCACCATTTTAGTATCTAAATGCTAAATTCTGCTTAAGCCGGTGCTAGGGGGCGTGGGCGGTTACTTGCACTTTCCAGTACCGTCCATGAACAGGCTCCATCAAACCGAACCTGCAACATTTTACAATTTTGTCGTGTTGGGCTTTCTTTAGGGATTCTGTTTTTGTCTATCTTATAAATAAATATAAGGAAAATGACGAAGGTGGCCGAAATTAAACGAGTTTAAAATCAATTAAATTGACCGAAAAATGGGAAGAGGTCAATCAGTACAGCTAAATATTACATAGGTATCACATTTCGCGTTTATGTCAACACTTGAAACAAGATGTCACCACTCGAGTAGGTGCTTTGAGTTACATATTGTTTTCTCGAGTTGATGTAATCCATGCAATGCTAGAGGAATATATTGTTCTAGTTACCCAATAGCGCTTTTTAGTTCCTTCTTGCTGACGTGATGAATCCAACACAACTAAGGCTATAGAGCGCATGTTGATATATCAGCGATTGAACGCCATTTGATTGCCAAAGAAGTCGATCAAATGTACTTTGCTCTTAACTTCAATTCATTTTCAATTAATCAAATAATAAAGTTTAGCTGGTATAATCATTCTTTTGAAATATTATTTCAACACGAGTCACAACAAATATAGTTCAAAACAATTCGTATGACCTTGATAAACGAGCTTGGAACTTCTTTTCAATTAAAATATGAATTAAAGATATAAAGCAGATGTAAGAAAACTCGGGTTTTAGACCAAGTCATGTCTTTCACTCTTGGGTATACGCCATATGCGATCTAAACTTAGCACCACCAAACCACGAGACCCTATTAAATTTCTTAAAATATAAGACAGGTGCCAGTTTAGAGTATCTTTTCGGCTCTTTACACATGCCAACATTCAGAAAATAAATATTCGAAGCGGAGATCAGATTTGAAGGTATTACATTCAATGGGTAGTCACGAAATTCACGAGAAATCATTATAAAAGTCACGTGAACCAATTATCATAATTCTTAGGAAAATTATCTCAGCAGCAGATAATCACACGTTATCCTTCAATTGATTATTATATTGTTGTATTACTTTGTAGAATAAATATCTTCTTGTCTAGGATACACCAAAAAAATAGAGAAAATCATAAAGCCCAACAGGTAACATTGAAAATGTTGCAGGCTCGGTTTGATTGAGCCTGTTCATAGACGGTACTGGGAAGTGCAAGTTGCCGTCCACGCCCCTAGCACCGGTTTATGCAGCATTTAACATACCAAGTTGAATTACTTTTGCAAATTACGGAATTCCTCGTAAATTATTTACTTTTACCGAAGTATGATGGAATTTACGATTTTAATGTTGCTCTAACGATTATTGATCAATTTTGCCGATTTAAAAGTAATATCTTTAATATGAACCATCAACAGTTTTAAAATTATTTTAAATATATTCAGACTTATGGATTAAAATCTATATTATTTTTTCGACTGCTGTCTATGCCCGCGGTATGTAATCTAAAATACTTTTTCCCGAAGAACGAAGAATGTAACCAAAAAGAAGATTTCCCTATTAATTAAAGGGTTACAGACCCCAATGAGCATGTGTCGTCATATTGGTGTTTTCTCTTTTAATGACGTCACAGTGGAAAATACGCTCTTACACAAGAAATATGTACATAAAATGAAAACTACTTAAGGACTTGGGGTAATCACAATATAATACGAAATAATATGATATTTCACAAACGTTCGATATAGAAAAAGACAAACACATTTATTGTTTCTCTCTTGTCTTTAAAACCTTAGACAACTGACGGCATTGCGGACATTGCAGACAAAGAGTATGGTCTACACAGTTCGCTATTGGTAAATACAAAATTTTGAAAATTTCTTTAAAAAAGCACATAAAATATTTAGCTTTGTAAGGATTAAAACAATGGCTTTGGATAATGTTTTCTTGGCATTATTTTTACAATAAGTTTACGTTCAGCGTCTCCAAACTGATTTTACTAAAATCGTTTTTGATGACACATATGTCATACCAGGATTGGAGGAAACATAGTTTGATAAAAATACTGGAAAGGTGAAATTCCACGATAAAAATGAAAACAAAGACCAATAGTAAAAAATTGGCAAACCAGGTTTCATCCAGTCAGCTCCTAACAGATAAAGGAAAGTGTATCATTTCTTATGCCCCCAACACCGCATTAATCCCTTTTACTAAAAGTATTGGACTCGAAAATCCCAAGAGACCAGAAAAACATACAGAATCAGTTGATACAATTTTGAATTGTGAATATTCCTGGAATGTAAAGAAAACAAAGAAAGTGGATGTTTTTCTCACCCCGATATGGTTATTATACGTATATCATTTTTAACGCATTTTAGCAATTCTTCCCAAGCCCAGATTTCCATATATGATATAGTTTCAAGATTATCTTATATTTATGGACGCGTATGGCCTTTTTTGGATCATTGTTTGCTATACTATTGTGATGACGAATTATTAATGCTGAAGACGGTGCTAGGGTGGGTCGGTCGTGAGAGATGTCAATCTTTACATCATCTCTTATAAACTGGAGTTTGCAATTTTTACCCTTCTAATTTTGTTTTCATCTTCCTTGACGAATCTCCGGTATTTCTAGATTTTTTTTCCAATTGGTCCTCATTCTGGACAATTATAATGAGTGCATTTGGAATCAGAAAATGCAACAATAAACAATAATAAGTGAGGTAGATATATTTAAATGAATAATAATAGCATAAAATGATCCGAGGATTTAACAAGAATTAAAGTCACAACTTAACATATATTGTACATTGTAATAATTTGACACAAGAACAATAATTTCTTTTATTATCTGCTTAACACCTTACCAGTCAGTTACTTTCATATCAGCTTTGTTGGTATTACGCCTAATCCTTTTCTAGTATATGCTTCTGAAATGTGGGGATTCAATAGAAATAATATATTTTTAGGACATTCGGAAACTGTAGCTTAATAAATTGCGCTATTTACAATTCACTAAAATCATAATATAAATAGTCTGCTTCCTAATTTTACAATACAACAACATAACAACATTAAATTATAATAAGAATAAATAAATGCTGACATGTGATGAGCAAGAATAAAAAAGAAAATTGTCCAGTGTCTAAGTTATATAATGTTCCAGTTATGTATATATATAAATGAATATGATCAATATTTCTACATCTTTTATGGTCAAATTTGTAACTTCCCAACCCTTTATCATTTCTTTCGCAGAAAGAGTTTCGTGAACATTGTTTTTCCATTCATACTATATGTTGAATGAGCAACAAGAAATGTTAGATTCTTTTTTAACAGTTCGATTATAGCAAGCTTTGTGATCTTAAAATTTGATTCATTCACGATGAACATAAACATTATCTAGTAATTACATTGAAAGTTGAAGCTATATTAATTAATAAACTATAGCGATAATGCTATTTATTCACGCAAACGTAACACATTTATAAATCCGAAAACAATGTATGATTTATCAAGGTATTTAGTAGTCACATCGCTTTTTAAAAGCACACTTTTAACCACAAGTTTTCTAATTTGAATAAATATGTATTTTTTTTTAAAAGAATAGAATCTTCAGTAACGAATGCATAACAAGAAAATGTCTGACTATAAACACTAACTAGCGCATATATGATGTTACATAATGTAACTTTTATAAAAAAAGATAATCAGAATTTCTTAGGGTTCATACAAGGTGTTGTATAATACCTCTTGTATAATAGCATGGTACATACTTATTTGTATATGAATTACTATATTATATATATAGTATCACGTTCTTCTAATATTTTATAGCCGTAACTCGAAACATATTAAACAAAAAACTGTCTGTGTTACATTAAACATATGTGGATTTTATAAGGTAAATAGATAAAACCTTCTCTAACAAGATATGTCTGCCTATTTTAAGAAATATAATCACGAGTTGCTCGTTTTCATGGACATTTAGTTGATTTACAAACAATATCATGTCTATTAAGGTATAATTGTATGATAGTTAAGTCATAGACAAATTAAAAAGCCCACTTAAAGGCACATTATTTCTCAGAAATCCATATTTAGAAATGTCAAACATGTGTTTGATAATGTTTTAATAATGGATTAAGATCATGTTTGATGTTTAAAAACTGAATAAAAGGCACTGAATGTGCAGTAATTTGTCGTAAAGGAATCAAAATGTAATTAAAGCAGTATTTTGACTTCCATACAACATAATAATTCACTATAATTATACAAATTGCCAACAAGGCCAAATATTTAAAAATAGCTCATCTTTGTGGCAAATAGGAAATTTTTTAAAACTGTAACAAGATAACAAATATAAGTTTTTGTGAAATAAAAATGATAGCATTTTTGAGGCATCATGGACCTTTTAAGCTTTATTCCATTTTGTTGTTGCTTTTATGTTCAGTCTTATTGTTAAAAGAAGAGATTAATGATCAACAAGGCAATGGCAACGCTCACAGGATGCAGACCCCGACACACAAAAGCCGCCATAGCAGGGCACCAAGAAGGCACCAAACCAAATCCGGGAGCGGTCATAAACCCTGAACCAGCTGAAACTGTGAAATGGATTTGCCCAGATTTGAATTTGGAACAGTCCATTCAAAGGTAACAGCGAATTACAAATTTTGAGCGGCAATAGCCTGGTGTGCTCATTACTGGTGGCAAAGGCTAATTACTACCGGTGCCAGCCTGTTAAGGATTTAAGAGCCAAAATTTAATATATCTATATAAATGTTATAATCGAATCAGTTGATTATGAGCTCATGTGAATGAGTGTATTCAATTGAAGCAACACGCATTCGTTTCAAATGCTCTTTTTCAGCCATGTAAAATCATTACTTCTAACACTTTTGGGCGCAAAGTAAGCTCTTATTATAACTCTAAAGAGCTCAACACTGTTTGCGCGTAGGTTTAGAGAAAAAGAAGTAAATTTATCGTGTAAATATCTACCGAAAAAAATATAACAAGCTATTTAACATGCATTTAAAACAATGTAACAAAATGCAAAATTACAGTACAACAACCAAATATTTTTATATCCCTATACAAAACATATATAATGATTGTGTCAAATAATATATGTATAACAACGGCATCTTGAACAAATCAATGTACATCCCGTTTACTAAATATTGAATAAAACAAATACCCGATTTGATAATCAAAATTCATATCTTTGAAAAAAATCTGAAAAAATAAATTTTGTCTATATGTTTTTTTCCGTATCAACACAACCTTCTTTTTATAAGAAATGCTAAATACCATTTGATTTGGACACTTCGTAAAGAAATTTAACAATTTATTACTTTTATTGACGTTAGTAATGCATTGATTTATAGTTATTATCATTGCACTTTCCAATTAGTTAATATTTACAAATGTCACACCCGTTACGGTAACGTATTTTTTCACCCGTTACAGTAACGTATTTTCACACGGGTCGAACCGGTCTGTTCTTTATATAGTCTGCAAGATGTTTATGTGTTTCAATTCGTTTACGGTGCTCTTGTAGCTCTAAATGATCGTCCAGAATGTCAGGATGTATGGATAGTGGGAAGGTGAAGGTCTCGAAAACACTGAGGTCAGCCAAGGTCAACTGAAATGTAATTCAATCAATTTTGTTATATGTATTTGTTATATTTCTTTTCGGAAAACTTTGTTTTTATAAGTAAATACATTGCACTGGTTAAAGTACTAGTGTTGTTGGTCTTGTTCTTAGATAGATAAAATTATACATAGAATCGATCGGATGGGTATATGTTTGAAATGTTATACATCATATCAAATCACAGATACATTTGAACATTGTACACTGAATGAACTGATATCATGCGTTTATACGATTTGTTTGTAATTCTTACTTAACCAAAATATAAAGAAAAGCCTTGTTAAATATTACTACTCAAATAATCTTAATTAGATTTGTCCTTCTTTTAATATGGACTAAACACTTTATAATGTTAGGAAAAAATCAAAATATTAACTGACTGAATAGCGAATAGTGCAGACCATGATCAGACAGAACGGAGGCGGTGACTGATCTTGGTCTGCACTGGTCACCCGTGTAGATTTAGTAGCCTTTAGTAGGCCTTGGATCAAAAAAATAATTTAAAATGGTTATCTTTTGTAATTGGGAAATCTTTCTATCATAATATGTTTTCAGTGATTCATTTCTGTTCATTTCAGTTAAGTTAAGGCTTTCACTTTATGTTTCTTTATTTTGTAAAAAAAAAAGAGTTCATAAAGAACGCTAATAATTGGCCGAATTGAAAATGCTGCAGGCTCCTGTTCGTGCACGGTTACTGGACATGCAAGATACAGATCACGCACCGGTTACAGTATAATTCATACCGGTATTTTAAAGTGAAATGGTGAAATTTTGAATTTAGAAACATCCATAGATGTGTTCATATTATTCTGTCGTATTGTTATCAAAATCATCATAAATGTTACATACGCTATCGCCAACAAGGTAACCGCTTCTGTTGTTGTTTTCCTCGTTCTCCTTCAGGATATCCTCTAATATACCAAAAAACTTGGGATAAATCTCGGAGCGTAAATGAGATCCAATTTCATCCTGTAAATTTAACGACAAGGTAAAAGTCAGTGATAGTGCACATTTTGATAATTAATGCAGAATTTATGCAAAATCATGACACTACTTTTATTCAAATAAATAGTTTAGAAGCATCTCGTATCCATCTACAATTTTAAACAAATGCCATTTATATAAGGTTGCACAAAAATGAATAATAATAAAAAACGAAATTCTGTTTAAAGATATTTGAGAATATAATGACACTGGTCTTTTATGTTTCCCCATGATGAATATAAAAAACACAACATTTTTTTCTCAAAAATTATTAAGCTACACCGACACCCTTTAAGTCACTTAGCGACTTTAATTGGTGCCCGTATGTGTATTTTTTTTGGAACGAGCAGACATCTGGGTAAAACCAACTGGTTTTGGATAGGCTTTCTATGTTGAAAGAATTCAGGGTCTCTTTAGAGATTCGAACCTAGAAACCAAGAACGTGACTGGCCATGTGATTAATTGTGTGTAAGCACTATTTAAATGTACAATATATAATGAAAGGACAGTTTCACATTCAGCGCTTCTTTCAGCGAGCGATGTACAGTAATATGCTCTAAAACCATTATTTAAAAGTGATATGACTAATATTGTTATATTGCCCTTTCTACAGAATAAGAAATAGTCGTTTCTGAGACATAATGTGCCTTTAAATTTTAAAAGAAGCAACTACTTGACCCATCTTGGTGTTCACAATGCATTCACATTTTATGAGAGTTATTGAAAAAGAATCCCTTTACTTTAGAGGAGATGCGTTTTTATTAGCCAGATCCATCAGAAAATGTAAATGATTTGAGCTGAATAAATTGTTGAAATGTTTAAGTTATTACCTTCTTCTCTGTGTCTTTTTCATAAATCCATTTTGCAACCTCAGCTCTTAAGTCGTCCATGGTGTCGACAACCTGTTCAACCAAAGCTTGTTCCCAACTCGTTTTACCACACAAACCTGTATATAAATTGACATGATACAAAATTTGAAAAAAAAGGATGTGTTTGTCTAAAAGTTTAGGCTTTGGTGCACTAAATTTAGATAGCTGATCGGAAGGACTTGAGTTACGTTGAACGGGCTCTTTTATATTTGTCTCCTCTGCATGTCTGTCTCTGTAGTAGAAATCATAAAAAAACTTAATTCTTCTAGTAAAACATTTCATAATTTAAACAGAACTTTTCTCTGTCAAAAGCTTTATTTTGACACACTGAAATATGACTTACACTCCCTAATTACCTAAACATTCAAGATTTTTTTTCTAAGTACATTTAACCCGAGATTCAGTGTCAAGAAAATAGCACAGAATATGACCTACAAACGTCTCGCATGCGCAAAATATCAGTTCCGTTTCCATTAACATGTATTTAATGCTACTCATACAGTTCACTTTAGACAGACAATATACGTTTGACTTTCAAGGGAAATGAAAATATAAAAAAATACATAAATAAATCTTTTATACGGCTGTTTCAGAAACTGAGAAGAACATAACTGTCAGATATGTTTTGAATATACGTATTACATATCAGTGATACTGTTAAATTAAACTTTATAAATAGCTCAGTGGTGACTATGCAATATTCCCTCGGCAATGATAAAACAAAAATGCTAGTAACTTCATCAGATAACAACATTAAAGTAGGGCTTTTAACTTAAGTACACTGTATAATTTAGTGCAAACATACCAATTTCATTACATTTATCCCGTCCGATTTTAGCCTTATCAAAAAAATAAGGTAATCGTTTTTTACTTGAAAGCTGTTAACTTTAATTTACTGTAACTGAAATATAACTAAAGCCGACTGAATAAATATATGACATGATCTGGGATGAAAATCTTGTAAGTCGGAAGAATATAATCCCTAAATTTGACAGACTCGTTCCATTAACATGATTTATGCAATTTTCACAGTTCATTTTTTGTTTTACAAGATATTTAAGTAAGCATTTAAGTATCACCTGCGATAAAGTTGTTTGAATGCTACAATTACTTAAAACGTGCAAGATCTGTGTTATCAAACGTATTCCCCGGAAAACATTATCAACATACATACGAACATTTATGCATGCAACAAATCGTTTGTTTGTTTATATGTTTGTCGGGTTTTTAAGTCAAACCGACACTTTATTGGTCAAACGGCGACTTTCCAGCTTTACTGGTGGGGAAACACTGCTGGTGTCCATCAATGCAATATTTCAAGCACCAGAAACCAGAGTAGAACCACCGACGTTCCGTAAACAAAGCGGGATTGGTTCCTCACATCAAAGAATTCCAAGCCCATGACGGGGTTCGAGCACACAGCAGTGAAGGACAAGAGGTATGAAGCCAATGACTTTAACCAATCGGCAACGTATACACCCAACATTGTTTAAAGACTTAGTGTTAGGAAATACAAGTGAACAAGGACACTAATAAGCATGACAAACATATTCTTTGGTTCCTACGAGTAAATAGAAGCACGAAAATACACTAACAACCACATATCAACTTTAGAAAATGAAGATGCTGACGCTGACAATATTATTTAGCCGACTATTTAATTGTCATTTTAGCATTCTAGTCATTTACAAGGCCAAGGACATTCACCTTCCAATAATTTTAGCCGCACATATATTTACCCAAACTTTATTCCCAACTTTCATTTGTTTCGTTTTATTAATAAAATTTCGCGTAATCAACACGAAATGATAAGCAAGGATAAGTATCATTATTTTTATTTGACTCTTAGACATTTAGCGAACATTTTGTTTTAGCGGAAATATTAAATTCGCTAAATCTAAACCGTCGTGAAAATTTCTGACTTGGCAGTATGGACGAAATAAGCTAATCCGACAGAAACTATATACTGATCATCTTTAAAAAAATCAAACCTAATCACACTGTCTAGATATATTAATTCTTACCGAATTCCCGTGCCAGATATCTGCAAATTGTAAGACTTTGCGAGAGAAGTTTGCCATCAACTTCCAACACTGGCAGTACTCTCTGTGGCATTTCTGAAAGAATAAAAACAGCAATGATGAATAAAAGAAAGTTACAAAAGTCTTTTACTTGTCTTGTTCTAAGATAAAGATGGAAAATCAGTAATTTATCTGACTGTTAGACTTGTCAGGCTACATAATTTGTTAAACCGACGGCAAGAATTCGGTTGATGGCTGTTAAAGCTGCATGTCTCCAGATCAGCCAAAATATTTAAAGAAAATCAAACAGAAATGTTCTTTAGAAAATTGAAATGTTCAAGATTCAAATAATTATTCACATGTGATGTACTATAAATGACTGATTATGCAGTATGTATCACCATATATCTACTGCAGGACTAAGGCAGTAAACGCTTATTTGCATGATTTGACATCTTTTCGGTAATTTATGCGGATAGTAAGTGACGTTTGCAATGTGAAAATTACTTCCTTTGTTTACATCACAATATTTTACTTATTAATACATTTCCAAAATTGTCCTGAAAATTTGCAGAATCTGGAGGCGTGCTGCTTTAATGAAGTAAACTAAAGTGTTAGTACACACAATGTTACAGTCATCATCACGACCGGTGTCGCGTAAACATTATCACTCGTATGATTATTACGAGGTGGCTTTGTGCTGCGTCTGGGCTGAAATTTGGATGAATTAAAAGAATTGATAATCAGCTTAAAAACGTAAGCGGAATCTATCATCAGTCAGTCAATCCAAACACGAGCGTCATGTTGGCTGCATTTTTTTTAACAGTTTGCCTTAAAACCGTTTACAATTACAATGGAAGTCCTAACCAAACCTCATACTAAAGTAAGAATGAAAGTCCAAATTTGTTTTCTTCCCAAACTTCTTAAATAAACATAAGAAGTCCCAAATTTTGATTTGTTTCTAACCCTTTTACATTACAATGACAGTCCCAAATTTATTTTGTTTCCAAACTTCTTAGTCACAATTTTGTTTTGTTACTAAATCTCATCCATTACAATGGACGACCCAAATTGATTTTGTTTCCAAACATCTTAAATAAACAATGGAAGTCCCAAATTCGGTTTTGTTTCCAAAGCTACCCTCTTAAATTAACAAGGAAGTCCCCGAATCAAAGTAAGAAAAGTATATCATGTTTAGACGAATGGCAACTCAACTGATGTTAATATTGTGAAAAAAAAAATAAAACTTAAAAATTAACTATTTAGAAAAATGGTTTAATAGATACTATTTTGTTTTGATTGTCCTGTCAACTATATCCTTAATATTTTCATTTCTGAACCGGACATAACATATAAATTTGGGTAATATACAGTGTAGATACAACTAGTGAACCACATTTTTATTATATCATTATACATAATTTTATTTATCTATGATAACAGAACTTCATTTGGTACCAATCACCGCAAGCTCGGTAAACTTTGAAATCATGTCATTTACAAACCAACTGCCTTAAACCAGCGTTGTATGTCACCAATAAAAAAGGTTACATCATCAAATTTTACGCGTCATGAACTATTTTCACCTGACTACATTGAGATAACTGTATGATTTATTAGGACAATATGTTCACTACAATCATTTGAGCCGCGTCACGACAAAACCAACATAATGGGTTTGCGACCAGCATGGATCCAGACCAGCCTGCGCATCCGCGCAGTCTGATCAGGATCCATGCTGTTCGCTTACAAACCCTATTACAAGTGGAGAAACTGACAGCGAACAGCATGGATCCTGATCAGACTGCGCGGATGCGCAGGCTGGTCTGGATCCATGCTGGTCGCAAACCCACTATGTTGGTTTTGTCGTGACGCGGCTCATTTGTGAAAGGTTAATACAACTTTACAACCAAACTAATTTCATGGCTCGTAAATTTTGACAAAACGTGAAAAAAGTTGTTTCAAATTCTAAATAATTACAAAAGAGCGACGTGTTGCCTTTAAAGTGAAATGAACAAAGAGGGACACTAAAATTTCGTGGACACCATCACGATAAAAATGTATATAAGAATTTATTAGCTTATAAATACGTGTCAATGGACATGCTAATATAACAAATTAACATATATTTTGATGTTTAAAATGTAGGAAGTACTAAAAATCTGGAAAAAGGAGATCCCTCGAAGGGGCAATAGTTAAAAGATGAAAATCAGAGACTCAGTTTAATATAGTTAGGCAATTAAAGAAACTTGAACGTCTGCTTTTGCATATTATAAATATATCACACAATGTTTGCTAATCAATATGAATTCATCATTCAATATAAATAGATAACGCATGTTTCCAAATCAATACTAACTAATCACGTACTGTTGGCCAGTCAATAGAAATATGTAACGCACAGTTTGCCAAGCATTATAAACGTATGACGCACTGTTTGCCAATCAATATGAATATTTAGCGCATTGTTTGCCGATCAATATAAATATATAACGCACTGTAGGCCAATCAATATAAATATATAACGCACTGTATAAATATATAACGCACTGTAGGCCAATCAATATAAATATATAACGCACTGTATAAATATATATCGCACTGTAGGCCAATCAATATAAATATATAATGCACTGTAGGCCAATCAATATAAATATATAACGCACTGTAGGCCAATCAATATAAATATATAACGCACTGTAGGCCAATCAATATAAATATATAACGCACTGTATAAATATATAACGCACTGTAGGCCAATCAATATAAATATATAACGCACTGTATAAATATATATCGCACTGTAGGCCAATCAATATAAATATATAATGCACTGTAGGCCAATCAATATAAATATATAACGCACTGTAGGCCAATCAATATAAATATATAATGCACTGTAGGCCAATCAATATAAATATATAACGCACTGTAGGCCTATCAATATAAATATATAACGCACTGTAGGCCAATCAATATAAATATATAATGCACTGTTTGCCAATCAATATAGACATAACACGTACTATTTGCCAATCAATATAAACATAACACGTACTACATTATTTATCAATCAATATATATTTATAAATAAATATAACATCTCGCGTAATGTTTGCAAATCAAAAAAAATGTGCAATCATATTGACTGATTAGAAATATGATATTTGCGACCACTACAATGAAAAAAAATTCTCTAAACACAAATTTAAAGTTTGCTTTGTAAGACGCTTCTAAGCATTCTTAATTGTAAAATGAACTCAGCGTTACATAATTACAATGTTACAAAAAGATAAAACCACGAAAAATCCCAAATAATTAAAAACATCATAAATCACTGATGATACAAAATGGGAATCTTACGGTATTTGTTCATAAAACATTAAATTTAACTTTACGCAGATGTTTTATTACAGGTATCCGAAATGCACTGATCATGATTTATTATATACGGAATAAATCTTTGCTTATGCACAAAAAAAAAAAAATAAATAAATTACATAAAGTAGTGTCTCCTTATAAAATCGCAAAAATAGCAAAGATTTTTTTTGTCAAACAGCGTTAACATATAATCATTTTATTCCTAATATATCACGAAGTTGGAGTGAGTAAGTAATTAGTAAATACAAGAGAAAATTTGTATTTGCAATGACCTATTCACACACGGTGTCGACATTACTATATGCTATTTTTCGACCTTTTATCCACGACACTGGATCTGTAAACTTGGGAATACCAAACGGCAATATGTTCATTTTCATAACCGGAAAAAATAACGTACGTACAAATAAATATAAAATAAAAACAGAATAAAATAAGATAGCCCAATTACTGTTTACCTTTACTGCGCTATATTTGTCCTGCTTTGCATTTGCACATGTCTGTATATGATATAAAACAGAAAAACCACAAGATAAATTAAGGGGCAATGAAACAATGCAAATGATGAATGAAAACCAGATTTATTGAGACTGTTCTTGAGAGAAAACGGAAAGCGCAACATCTCTCAGGGCCCCCTAGCACCGGCTAAGAAAAATATTGGAAACAATGTTCCCATATAAAATCATTGTGAATAAGTACCGTGAACTTTTAATGGCTATCTCACATCTCTTAACACCTGGAAAGAGGATATTAGCCCTTATTTTGTATCATTTGATTAAACGTATTGTTTTTTTAGACGATTCTTCTAATATTGGATTAAATATGTAATAAAAAAAGTAAAGTTCCATTGAGATTAGAAATGGTTCATTGACCTCTTTAATATAGATGAACTCGAAAATTCATATCAACTATTTTAACAGTGAGCTTATCATTTATAGCAGTAAGAAAAAAAGATAAGAAAGACACAAAGCTTGCAACTGAAACAATAAAATACCCTCTTGTTTTACAAAACAAATAATTTTTAGACATAAACAAGAACATAACTGAAAGCATTCATGGTAATGCACTCAGATACCTGACAGCCATTATAGGTAAACGCGGCGGGCTACGTTCTAAAATTAACAAAACTAAGGCATACAACTGGCATTATTCCACGCAGAGCCATCTGTTAAATTTTGCTGCTTAAAACGATTTTGTTCACATACCAGTGTCAGTAAAAACGTCGAGCATTTTATTTCTTCGACAGCTAAGATGCTAACGATAACGATATAAGCCGTGCGCCGGTTCATTAAAACCTTTGACAGGTCTTGAGATACCTGAGATACCGTTAGGGTTTTTGGGTACAGTACGGTACGGTACGGCATTGGAACGGAATACGACACGATTAATTGCTTCTGATGCTGATTTAGAGACAGTCTTTAAATATTTCAATGTAGAAGGTATTTAATGATGATGCCAAATACGAGATAGGTAAGCTCTTGATAGCTTAGATTTATGTGGATTTAATTCAATATCTTCAATATCTTTATGATGCCTTATACCAGCCATTCCTTCTGTCTAGTATTTTTAGACTTGATTGATAGGAATGAAATATGTCTCTTTAGATAATTTCTCGAGGTGTCTTTATGCATTCATCACATATACATTTTTTGTAAAAATTGGCATCTGATGAACATTCTTTTAAAATTAATGTTCAGTTTTAATTAACAATGCGA